ATATATATTTGTCATCTACTCCTCCCTTATTGGCGTCCACTTCTATGCAAGTTAAATGAACTCGCATTCACAGCGACATGCTAGCATGCCCATGTGCTTATTTACAGCTTTAGGCGTCAATAAGCAGTACCCCGTGGGTGCGTAGTGACGCTAGTTAAATATTAGTAAGAAACGCATTTTAAGTTTATTCTAAAGCAACAAGTTCACCTTTTCGGTCGCTTCCTACCACCACAAAGTTACCTACATTTTTTTAAGTCTCGTGGTTGGTTGCCGTTTCTGGTCGTCCTCTCACAGGAGTGTGTTTCACAGCTGATCTGCGGTAAGCTCTAAATCTGGCTTCACGACTGTATAAGCGTATGGCCGTTCATAGCGTCCGCTCCTGTATCAGTTTCCCCTACCATCAAACCGGTACGTCCATAACGGGAGGAAATGCTGCTGCTCACGTCAAGAGTGCGTGCCGTCACGTCTGCCCCCAGCGAATGGGAGTTGTATTACACATACACAAAAAGTGACAAATTAAAGGAAAATCTGTTCCGTTGACCTTTTCAGTGAGGTCATGAGTGGCTTCTTTGTGTTATATAGTAGGTGGAATATTTTGGCTATTATTTAAATAATGCATAATGTATGACTATTATTGTAACTTTAAAAAATTAATTAAAAACAGTGATCTGCAGTAAGTATTGTCTAAAGTTGAGTCACAGCTGAATCATGTACAAGCACCTTTAGGAAAGATGAAAATTGACACATGGAAACAAAGGGAAATGACGTTAACAAAGCAGTGCAGTAGTGATGAGTAGTCTCTTACTACATAAGCTGAAGGCTAGAACATAATGAAGGACCACAAACTGCCTGTGAGAATCAACCAAAGCTCAGTGTTACATGCACTGCATTTGAATCACCCAAATACTTGCATTTACATGTTATTAATATGACACTGAAAAAAATCTCAAGTTGCATTAGAAATTTAACAGAGGCAAGATTTTTTTTAACAAAATTTTTTATTTATTTTTTTTCCATTTTTAAATCCAGGACAACTTATTCAAGGATAATCAAGGCGAAATAAGCACTAATGTTATATTAGATGGTTTTTTTCTTCCTTTTTTCTCTCTTTACATTGTGTCAGACATGATGGTGAATTTTATCAGAACTGGTCAAAGTAAAACAAAACAAAAAGCAAAAAAAAGAATATAACAATACATTATTAATTAATTCAATACAATGAAGTGTGGAGTCAATGACGAATAACAATGGCCCAGAAAACATAGGGTTGTTATTGTTTTCACTGCTTCTTCTGTGGTACTGCAATAATCACCAGCACTAACTCAACTCGATCAACAACAGTAGAGGAAGAAACGGAGCGCGCTCACAAAGTTCTGCACCCCAGCCCCCCCAAAGAGGAAACACTCTTTTTTTTTTTGTTAATTTAAATATTTTATCAAAGCTTCTGTTTTGAATCTTCATAAAATGTTTCTAAAATGTATATTTTTTAAACTCTTTTTTTTTTTTGCCTTTTTGAATTTGAAGTTTTCCTTTTCAGGGAAGTTTTTCATCTCCATTTTACCACAGTGTATCCGTTTTTGCAACTGTGGTTGCCTATATGTTGTACCCTTGTACCCCTGTAAGTGTGTGTGTGTGTGTGTGTGTGTGTGTGTGTGTGTGTGTGTGTGTGTGTGTGTGTCCATGGGTTGATGTGTCCTTGGCTGAGGCTTGGAACAACTTGGAGTTGTTTAAGTGCTCACGTGAATGCAAAGCCTGCACATGTGAAGCTCTGTGTCTTTTTGGACGTGTGTATGGAGTGCTTGTGTACTATACGTCCTTACACTGCTTTTACCTGTTTTAGGTCACTGCAGCAAAGGCATTCATACTGAGAGGTTGAAGCTGGCTCAAGCAACAAGGTATGTGACCTTCAGCTAGCTCTGTATGTGTATATCTAACCAAAGTCAGCTTAACAAGGGGTCTGTTGAGCTGGTTGTGCACGAGGGTGAGCAGACTTAAGTGAGCGTCTCTCAGTGCCTACAGAGATCAGTGAATGTGTGTGTGTGAGATGGAGTGTGTGTTCATACTCTGAGGATTTATATACCTGGAGGTGAGCCAAGTACACTTTCATGCATTTGCACCATCTGTGTAAAGCTTATGAGTCTCTATAGCCACTGCATGATGTGGGAGAGGACATATGTCTGTGTGTCTGTCTGTCTGTATGTGTGTTTGTAGTAGAAGGCACGGAGGGTGGTATGGGAGGCTCAGTCTCTCAGGTCCATGCTGGAGCCAAACAGAGCCACCAGCTGCTCCTCATAGTGGGCAATGTTCCTCTTCATGATCTCCTTACAGGAGCCCAGGAGGCGCTCAAATGCCTGGATGTCTATTACTAAACAGAGAAACAGAGATGGATGTGAAACACATCTGAGGATTAAATTCAGTTGTCACAACACATTTAAACAGTCTACAAGGGGTACTGTTGAAATGTTTCCCCACATAAAGTTACATATATATGTAAACACAGGACTTTGTAGATTGGAGGGAATGTAATCATCTCCATCTTAACATCGCAAACACAAGGGGATGGTTGTGGACTTTAAGAGAGGTAGGAGGAGGACATAACCAATACCGATAACCACCCAGAAGCAGAAGTAGTCTTTAACCACAGATACTTTGGTGTGCAGCTCAACAGGAAGTTGGAGCCATGAGGAATAGATAAAGTTTTTCTGTTTGGGATGTGAGGCATTATGTCTGTGCTGAAGCTGTCTGCCTTTGTGATGTAAATTTCCTGAAAAGAATAAATAAAGGATTGGCTTTCCCAAACATCTACATTAGAATATCAGGGTAGACGTATTTCTGAGGCGCAAGTGCAATGAGTAGAGTTGCGATTAGAATCATCTGAAGCTGCCAAGCTGGAAACACATCTCACAAGAACCCCACTTGAACCCCGAGGTCTCCAAAGTACCAGACAAATTCACCTCCATCAGGACAAATGCGAGCATAAGCATTCATCCCGAATGAAACAACAACTTCAGTCATCAGTGAAATGTTTCTGATGCATCATTAATACATTTAGCAGACTGCTTATCTTATCTGTCACAGATGCACTGTGACAGATATACATGTTCATAACAGCACTACAGGCACCAGGGGGCCTTTGAAGTCCTGCTCATCTTTAACAACGGTGGGAGAGTGACAGGAGTACAGCAGACAGCATATGCCGCTGCAGTACGGATTAATGACACTTCCTCTTCTTAAAAGAGGAAGCATTTGTTCAAGACAAGCTGGGGTACCGTCAGGGAACAGAAAATACACTGAAATACAAGATGGATAAGAGTGTATACTAACAGTGTATTTATGGTTAACACTAAAGAGGAGTAAACAGGGGAACACAGAGTGGAGCTAATACACCATTAAAACAAATAACAGATGACTGGAAAACTAAATAAAAACCACAGGGATGCTACAAAAACACAACCAGTTATTAAAAAAAAAAAAAAAAATAATAATAATCCTGTTCATTTTCAAAACTGAAGAGCTGCTCATACACACTCTGATGAGCCTGAATTAGTGTACCCACTTTAAAAGCAAAATAATGACACAATGACCTTCAATCAAAGAGAAAAAAAAAAGGTGATGAACAGCCGGCCGTGAATTAATCAAAATTCAAATGCCACTTGATATCTCAGGCCAAAATGCTTGTAACAGTTCAATTAGTAGAAAATGAATACCACAGACCTGTTGAAAGTTTGAGTGGTTTAAATACTACTCATTCACAGATTTTATATGATGCCCAACTATATACAAGGGTTACACACATCTAAGTTCCTTATCACTATCCTTGAGATAGCGGGATTGGCATTGATGTCCAAGTATATTTTGTCTTACCCAAACACTTGACATCTCCCACTGCGTAGGCTGAGGCGGCCCGGGGCTTGTTAGTGACCAAGGCCAGCTCCCCGAAGTACTGACCCCTGGTACAGCGTGTTATCTCCACCTCCGCATTGTCTGCGTGGTCTGCCTTCGTCTGCAGGAGAGGGGGGAGGAGAAAAGGGAACAGGATTAAAGGTTAGGAGCCTCAACCCCGAAGCAAGAGGCACTCAGCAGACTGAGCAGACAATCATGAATCCCATAGTTGCTAGGCAAATAGAGGACACGCTTTTGTGTTGTGATGGATTTCAATGGAGAGTGTGGGTTGCTATTGTGCTGTACAGAAATTACCTGGTGAAAGAATATAATCAGGCTTTTGTCTAACTGCATACTGTTAAACCAGTAAGTATGATCCTAAGTTTTCTGCTTACAGAAATGCACATTGAAAATACATTCATTCAAAGAAGTTGAGCTTCTTACTTTACTCTTCATCATGATCTTGACCTCCCCAGACTCTACAATGTAGAAACAATCAGCTTTGTCTCCCTGAGGAGAAAGAAAAGACACTTATAAATATAGTGCTCTATATGAATGTAAAGACCTTCAACGCTGCAGCGTGAAACTACATCTGATAAATGCATCTCTCACCTGTGTGATGATACGTTCGGCATCTGTGAACTGCTTTGCTCCTAATACATCAACTAGCTTCATCCTCTCTGTTGCCTGGAAAGAGAGAAGACAAACATTTAAGGGAAAATGGCAATATTGCAGAAGAAATGCGTCAAAAATGTTGCAAATACCCCCAAAGTCAATCCTAGCTCATCTCAGATTCATCAATCACATTCTTATACTTTAATATGAGGGCGTGGGGGTGGGGGGGGGGACCTAAACTGAGTAAGATGAGGCTTATTTCAAACCAATCCAAGTATAACTCACCTCCAGTGATTTGAGTAGGGGAACTGACTCAATGAAACACTCGTACATCCTCCTCTTCTTGGCATTGTTCTTTACAATGAGTCTACGAAATGTAGCACGGTCCTAGGAGAGGAAAAATGTCTCTAATAAACAAATACATATACATATAGAGAAAAGGCCACATTGTTCTTCCTCTGCTTGGCCAGCAGGTGGAGCTGCAGCGGCAAAAGACATTACAAAGCCACTAGCTCCATTCATAGATTACAGGAGTCCATTCTTAACATGCTTCAGCATCACAGCCTATTAAACTGTGTTCAGTCACAGAAACAGCTCCCAGCCTTCACAGTGCAATCCTCTGGAGACAATTTTCAATGAAAACAGTTTAAACCTGAGCTTTACAGACCCGTACAGGCTGCTATACTATTACAACAGATGTACAACAGCTGATGTAAGTTCAAAGGGGTCATAACTGAAATGTTACTGAAAAACAAAGAACAAAATGGAGTTAGAAAATGCTTAATAATGTGGAGTTTTGTGTAGGTGGTGGTTTTACAAAAGGATTTAAAGTGGATTATAAGTTCTTACCAGTCCCCATAGCGCTCCGTCCTGGGTGGCTACAATGGTGGCGGCACGTGGCGTGTTGTACATGAGTGCCAGCTCTCCAAAGCTGCCCTTATTGTTATACTGACCCACGCATTTTCCTGAAACCACTATGTCATACACACCCCTGGAGAGAAGGCGAGAGAGCGATTGACAGAAGGTTAGAAATGACAAGAAGTCAGCAGCAGAGTCTCAAAGTGAGAAAAGTAGGGCACTTGGACAGAGCTGCAGTTTCAAAGAAAGTAATTCAAGATCTGCATAAACATTTTATGGCTTCTTCCTCTGACTGTGTTCAACCTCTCCACAAGCTTTGAAAAATGTACCATTTTAGTTGCTATAAGAGGTTTTTTGATGACAGTCATCACTGATCACCCAAAATGAGTAATGTTTATTAACTACAAAATGGTGTACATGGTTATCTATTTACAGATCATCTCTATCCTGTGGATAGGACCGTGACAGTGTGGCACACTTGGTGACTTGTGTTTATTCTTAAAAAGAAAAAAAACAAAACAACAGAATGCATTGATTTGCAAATCATTTCAATGCTATATTTCAGTAATGTAAGCACATAAAGATGCTGCAATGTTCTGTGAAGCTATCTAAAATGGATTGATGGGCGCGCACAGGTATAACCAGGGAAAACGTATCACTGCAAAAAATACCTGAACTCACTTAATTTGAAGAGCATCTCAGAGAGGAAGTAAAGATGGAGAAGTGTCTATTTCCCTGAGAAATACTGTGTAAGAAGAAGCTCAATAATTTGTAATACATCTCTCAGTGTAATATAACAAGGAAAATCTTTGTTTCCAAGGGACCAGGCTGAAAACTAATAGGGAACAGGCAGAATAATAAGGCCCCGAGGAGGCACTACATTTAAAACATAAAAGATTTTATAATGGAAAAATCAGTGGGTTCATACAAGCTCAGGAACACGTGTGAAAAACACTGTCAGCAATGAATAAAAGTGTAATTGACACATCCTCTGGGCACAAGCTCATTTAGGTACAGAGGTGCCATCAGGACTGCACCATTCAAAATAAGCATAGGCAATTTCTATGGGCTGGAGGCATTAGCTCACATATGTTTGTGGACCACAGACTCTGAACAAGCAACGCAAATTTTGAAGTAGTACATGCTGCTGTATCTGTATCAGCCTGACTATAGCAAACTACTTTCTTACAACATTATAGCTCCACAGTAAGAGTGTTGGGGTGATAAACTGATCTGACTGCAGTCCAGAGCTGTCGCTTATTAAAAGCATCTGGTACAATATGAAATGCAAAAATACCACGGAGGATTGCCGAACCGCTCAAAAATATTTAGTGAGAATGACAACACATTTCACTATTATAACTCCAACAGTACCATTAACCATGCTTGAAAGAAAATGTGATTAACAAAAGTCTGAACTTTTCTAAAATGTGGTACTGGCATCAAATTTAAAATGATCATATATTTTTCAAACTCAAGAAAATTCCTCACTTTTACCATTTTCTGTTTTGTCGTTGTTCTTCTACCAATTAAATGTACTTCAAATGTTTTGCAAATCATTCCATTCAAATTCTTTAATTTTACAAAGCATCCTGTTTTGCAATCCACTATGTAAAAGATTTAATAGCAGGAAAACATGACAGGAAAACAGTTGGATTTGTTATATTATCCCACTGTCTAATAAAAAAAGGTTATAGTGCCTACTTGACTCATTGAGACTAATGCTTCAGTTGAGAAGCCCACTCTCCCTCTCTGTCTGCACGAGGATTAAACCTGGAGTAGGTAATTTGCAGCGTTGTTGCTTGGCAGGATTAACCCCTAATTTTGTAGGCTAGCCAGTCTTCCCATTGGCTGCGTAGAAGGGATAAAACCCTATCGGTGGCGAGTGAGTATTAGCTTACGTCGACTGGATTATCATGACAGAGGGAACAATGATAACCTGTTTCGCCAGCTGCCTGAAGTTAAGATGTAGCTACAGATGAGTGAGAAAGTTAAGCAGTGAAGGATCTGATGGATCTGTTCATTGCAAATCAATGCAAACTTGTTCGATGTGATCACCTTCATCCTATGGTGAGACCATTCTGCCATTCATAGGGCAAGAGAAGTTAATGAATGGCTTTATGATGTGATTCAAATCCATTGATAAATTAAAATTTAAAATGAATTAAATTTAAATGATAGTAGATATGATATGAGATCTGAAAGCTGTATTAGCATTACATGTGTTAAATCCTTCTGGTAGAGTTTCATAGATTTGTAGAATCCATGCCAAAGCGGATTAAAGCTGTTGCAAGTTACTTCGACAGTTTTATAGCCTCTCTTTTCTTCCCCCCTCTAGACCCATCTGTATGTGTTGTTCACACATTATTCAACAACCAAACAGGTGTGAAACCTGGTGGCCACTGATAAATTTCATGCTTGGATAAATATGTCTGGGTCAATATAAACAAAGAGCCATGATTCTTTCACCACCTCTGTTTCGTCATTCAACCACTAGGAATAACATCACACTAGCGTAGTTCAGTGCTTTTGAACTCAAAGTGTTTCTAGTGTTAAATGTACTTTCTTGATAAACTGCAGCAAATGAGAAAGCGACGAGTATATTTGTGGAACTGCTGCTCAAGGACAAACGGATGTTTCTTCCTGCACTTAGGGGATGTGTACATAATTTTTCTAAGCCCACCCTTGGGCACAGCCTTCAGTGATGTTTAAACTAGATACACGGTGCAAATGCTCAATATCAGTAAACAGAATTAAAAAATTATTTTGGGCACTGAGCTTCACAGTGATTTGAAAATATATAAGACATTACAGCTTTCATGAGAAAAATCCAGGCAGGAGAGAAAGATTACGCAACTTAATGATTTCAAAACTGAAACTTTTAATTTAATGATTACAGTAATAACACTTTAAGTAATCACAGCTGAAAGCAACAATGATCCTTTTTCACATCTTTCACGTCACTCCTCCCATTATATATTTACTCCTCATCCTTGAGGAGCTCTGAAGGATTTCTAGCCACTTCCTGTCTTAGAGGCTTTAGAACTGACTGTCTATGATTTTGTTAAGTGGACATTTACCATATAGTGGCACACACGCCAGCTACACAAACCCATTTAGTTATGCCATTCAGAATCAGCTGACAGCAGAAACAGACCAATCTGTTTAAGCTGATTAATAATACGACACCATAAGGAAAGCAGGAGATGTCTATAATACAAATATGCCTCAGTGACATACGAAAAAGATTAAATGGGAAACAAGCAATGTTGCTTTATCCTATTATCCTCACTGCTTTTCTTTTCTGTTTATCCCTTCGTCTCTCTGTGTGTCCATGTTCACACCCCACCCTGCTCGTGACATTAGCTGCCACCTACACTTTGCACAGGCTAGGAAAAAAACCACAGGATAGTATATGATCAGGCAGGCATGCTGCTCATAAAGGTCACTGCATGTCTCATGTACAGGGAGCACGCTGTGTTTAAAAGTGTGTGTGCAGATGAAATGATAGCACACGAGTGGAACTACACTGCTGTACTGCACTGATATGAGCCATGCCAAGAATGAACTGAGGCCAGGGTGGGACAAACGTTGGCAGGCCACCAGAAACACAGTGGGAAGTCTGTTCTCTCTTCAGTGGTAGAGGTTAAAAACTGACATCTTGAGGTCAGGCTTTTTTCAGTGCAAGTAATCCCTAAGTCATTCTTAAGTAATCACTTTGGTTAGAGTAATGTAAGCGACAAAGATGCTATATCCTACAAGAGCATTGTACTCTTCGAGATCACCATGGAAACCTTTCAAGTTGCATCTAACATATTTTAAAGTACAAAACTCTTGAAATGAACTTAAAATGTTTGTATTTCACCAAGGCCTGAGAAAGTTACTGCAGCAATCAGCACAACTTCCTGCAGACGAATGAGTAATTATAATTTTCCAAATCACAATGTGTTCATTTTTCCATATTACATATAACGCAAAGGGTATATTTAATGCAAGTCAACTTTAACCTGGCATGTAAAGACCTGTGAACGCACCATGTGTTTACATTAACAATACAGCAGGTGAAATACACAGCTCCACTAATACCATAAACACAGATACACACGCCTGTCAAACCTGAACAATGCACAAACCCAAGCCCAACTGTTATGACCAGCAGTCACAACTTATTTACTGATTTCTAAAATAACAGCCGTGCTTTTTTAAACTACCTTCTACTCATTTCTTAATTACCATAATATACTTTCTAAGTGATATCACTATGTCAGATCTAGTTGGCAGTTGTTTAGGATGTAATGGAAGGATTTATTGTTTTATACTTTATGAGGCTCATAATTGTCTGACTCTTTTCCATACAGACTGATGCTACATTATGATGCAGGAATATGGCACTGCATTGGTTTAAATAATACAAATGTATATTGTCTGGTCTTTCAGTATAATATAATAACTCAAATATACAAAACAGGAACTCTGGTCATCACCGTCTTTTGCAACAGTTATGCTGTAAAACACCATCACTGGCCTTTTTGCCATCCAGCCTAGCCTAAATAAACAGGCTGTATTTGAATAAACAAACAGTCCCAGTTTTAATGATCTGACACGGGCATCTGCTTCTTACCTCTCTATGACATAGAAGTTGTCTCCATCATGTCCCTGGTCTATGACGTGCTCCTGAGGCTTAACAATCAACTCAAACATAGCGTCCAGCACCTGTGAGAACTGCTCCTTCATACGGGAACAGAAAAAGGATGTCAGCCACAAATGAGGAAGATGAGTAACAGGGAAAATATATTTTGTGTGCGCATGCGCTCGTGCATCAATAATTTCAGTTAGCTTCTGTGTGTGTGTTGCTCCTGAAGGGAGACGAGATGAAATTTAATTATCCCATCAGGGAAATGGTATTAGAAAATACACAAGGGAAAGGAAGAGGACCATTTTCGAGTCCACAATACAATATTTTTTTTCACAATGTCAGATTTACCCCAACAGCAATTGACTTTAAGAAACATAATTTACCTGTGCTGTTTATGTGACCCAAACAAGACAGTAATTCATTGCACACACAAACACCACAAGTAGTAATATAGCATTATTTGCATGTAACTCTACTGCACTGTACCCTCTCGATGCTTCAGATTTACTCTTTGCAGGGTGGATAAAAAAGGTTTGAGTATTGTACGCATCTCATAGCATGCAGGAAACCTGAATAAACAAATGGGGAAAGTTAATAATAAATATTGTTTCATGGCCTCACTGACAGATTTAATGAGGAAGGCATCCGTTCAGGAATCATTCTTTGCTCAACCTTCCCCCCCCCCCTTTTTTTTTTTTAAATAGTTTTATCCATTGCTAACCATCTGTGTACACATCTCTTCCTGTTTTGTTTTGTTTGTTTGTGTGACTGATTTACTTGATCTAGTGTTTTGAAGAGTAGGATGTCTCGGCAGGACTCTTGCAGTCTGCAGCGCTGTTCGTCTGTTTTTGGGTGAACCACTCTGGGTTCAGTGTCCTCGTCATCCTCGTCTGGGTTTAATGGTTCCGCACACACTACAGACAAAGAAATCCAGGTAAAAAATACAGTTTTCTACTACTCTTTCAGAGTAAGCATTAAGCCACTTCAACCAAAAAATTAATTACAGTATGGTGCAAAAGTTTGGACCCCATCCCCATTCATTTATATTTTGTTAGGAAAATGGGAAATACATGCAGTGATTTACTGAAACAAGCAAACATACATGGAAATATTCGTCAATACAGCCTGAACTCTCTTATGCAAGCTTTCTTGTATTTTTTTTTTTTTTTTTTTTAAGTAGTCTTCAAGGATAGTTCTCTAGGCTTCTTGAAGGACATTCAAAGCTCTTCTTTAGATGTTGGCTAACTTTTGTTCTGTTTTCTGTCAAGATAATCCGACACTGCTTCAATAATGTTCAGGTCCCAAAGCCACTGTGACTGATGGCATTGCACTATGGGATTTTGTATCTAGGGATGCTTTTACTCCATTGGAAGTCTGTTTGGGATCATTGTCATGCTGAAAAATTAATCTGTTACTAGACACTTTCCAAATAATATTGTATGCTGCATCAAAATCTGATGGCATTTTTCGTGATTCTTCATAACTTCTTGTCCATTTTGACAAGCCCCAACACCTCTGGCTGAAATGCAGCCTGAAACCACTATAAAGCCTTCACCGTGGTTTAAAGATGGCTGCAAACTCTCACTGCTGCACCTTTTTCATACCTCGGCCTTTTCTCCACATCTACCTTAACCTCCCAGGACCTGGCGCCCACATATGTGGACATCACATTTTGGGATGTCTAGACCAAAATAATAAATTTTGCTCTTCAAGAGCCTGATATCCAGTTACGAGAACATTATACTGCCACTGTTCTATCGAAATTTTAAACGAATGTCCTCCTATGTGGATCTCATTTCTGTCAAAAACAAAAATCTGGTTAAATAAATAAATAAATAAATAAATAAATAAATAAGAAATTCTTTGTTTTTACATTCATCAGGTCCCAAAAGTCAAATCAAAGAGAAATTAAAAATGCATGCCACGAAAGAGTTCAGGTTAGTTGAGTTAAGAATGGCTTCAGCACAGCCATTATTCTACTGAGACTGTTTCAGTGAATACTAGATAGATCGACTAAAAGGAAAGCATCTTTCAGGCCATGTGTCAGGTTTTTGCTGGCTTTTTTTTTCCTTGTAAGGACATGACTTTCAGGTATTGTTCATCTGCTGGAGACAGTTTTTTATTTTATTTTATTTTAGGGCTGCCCCTTCTTTTCAGCCAATAGCTTCTTTGTTGATCACTTTGTTAGTGGAAAAAAATACAATTTCATGCCTGCGTCATTGCTAGGATTTTTCGTAGATTTAACTACAGAAATGGAAACAAATTATGTGGTATTATGGCTTGTTTTGTTATGTGTAGAAGCAACACTGGTTCATCCCTTGAATTAGGTAGTTTTCTTTTTTTTTTAACTCCTTAATGATTCATATGTTAGTGTCAAGTCTTTAAAAAAGATTGCTATGAGAAAGGTCAGATGTGAGTGAGTGTAACAGTAGCCAATATAAAGAGTAAGTAAGCAAAGAGTAATTCTCCTTTAGAAAGCCTGGAGAATTATTACTCAAAACAAAAAAAAGAAAAGAAAAAAAAAATACCGGAGGAAGTCTGGCTGCTTGGCAGCAAAATATGGGGGCTCAAGAGTTTTGTATAGCACTGTATAATAACTTAACCAAGCTCTAAATAACCAGGACAAGAAGGCATACAAAAATATAATAAGATTGTTATAAACATACCAAAAACTTGAGGTTACTCTATTCCGTAACCCCTGTTCTCTGATAACATGATTGAGGTGTCTCACTATGGGGAACGCTCTCTCAGCCAATGAGACACCTCACTCATGTTATCAGAGAACAGGGGTTACGGAATAGAGTAACCTCAAGTTATAAACATACCAAAAACTTGCCTTAAAAATGACAAACCTTGTCAAAAATACACTACTCTGTCCCTTACATTGTAAACTGGCAAGCTAATTTACTAAATTAACTTCAAAATGAACCACTCTTAACAGCCCAGAGTCCACTCAACAAAAAGTGTGTATGTAAGATAATTATGTTTGTAAGATAATTCAATTTTATCACATTCTTCTGGACAAGGAAAAACAAACAAATGTTTCTACACACAAGCGTAGGGAAAGAGAACACCACAACACACGAGAGAGAAAAAAACACATGTGCAGCGACATGTTTTGCCACAGTGCATGACAAACACTGACAAGGTAATTTTAGATAGTCACTATTTATCTGTTTCCTCCCTCTCTGTAGAGAG